GGCCGACGGGTCCGCAGCATCGCATGCCTTTGTCAAAGCTCTTTGCCAAGAGCCCACGAATAAAATTCTTAGTGGGCTCACACACGATAATAGAACGTGGAGTACCAACTACAATTCTACTGAGTCCAACGAATGTGCTATTTCTACGGTCGTTCCAGCCGGCAGGCGTCTGCGCCTTTGTTGTCTCGAGACGCGCTGCCTTGCGCGCTTGTCTGGACCGCACCGCGAGGCATGTTATAACGATCCGTTAACTGTCGGCGCCATCGCGTCAAGATCGGACACTCGCTCCATGCCTCGCTTTGCTACGTGCCGACGCGGCGACATTGGCGTCCAAGTATGGGGCCGGGACCGAAAAAAAGACATCTTGTGGTTTGTATGGACCCTCTCAGGCCCAGCAGGCCATGCTCGGCTTTGGTGACAGGCGCATTAGCGTCACTTGTAAATCGTATACAGGGTCTGCGTGAGCACAGGCGCAGCAGAAACCATCCGTGTCATCAGAATCGGTTCGAGTAAGGAAAAAAGTTGAAGGCGCACGACATACCTTGGGCGCTCGCCGCTTCGGGGCCAGAAGAGACTGCGAGTGCGCAGAGCCCAGCGCATTTTATTCTTATAGGCCTCGACGAGACCTTTCTAGCTTCCCTGCGCGCCGTGTTGGCGCTGCTCTCCGTGGTCGAACGCCGGCATGCCATCTGTGTCCAGATGGCCTGTCCAGATGGTACCACCCAACGGCATCCACCACCGTGTGGCAGCACTGCTATGTAGCGATGGCTTCTAACACAACCAGCTTGGTGTGCACGGGAATTTGTTGAGTTTGCTTGTCTTTTGGTTTCGAGGGCTTGGCGCAGTCGGATCCTCACTTTTCGATTTACCTCTGCGATGTCGACGACGATCAAGGAAGTGGGCCACATGGACCTGCAGGAGCGCGTCTCCTACATCCAGTCGGCGACGCACGACAAGGATGTCGACGGCGACTACGCCGACGCCAAGACGCCCGGTGACCTCGAAGACGGCGCGCTCGTCGCTGGCGGTGCGCTCTCGCTCGTCTCGCGCGAGGCCCTCGCGCTCTTCTCGCAGTACTTTGCCATCGGTATCATTTACGGCATGTTGCCCGGCATGAACTACCCCGTGTTCCAAATCTACCTTCGCATGGAGGGCTACCAAACCGCTGCCTACGGTGTCCTCGTCACGCTCGGCTGGTCGTTCAAGGTCTTCTTCGGTATGCTCTCGGACTGCGTCCCGATCATGGGCTACCGCCGCAAGCCGTGGATGATTCTTGGCTGGACGATCGCGACCGTCTGCCTCTGCGTCATGACGTTCACGCCGTTCCCGGCGCCGTACTGCGATGCGCGCAAGATCCCTTGCCCGAAGAAGGTGCCGACCGGCGCCAACATGACGGCGGCCCTCAAGCAGTGGTACAACTTTGACGCGCCGGACGCTGGCAGTCTCTTCATTGTGCTCTCGGTCATCTGTGGCTTTGGCTACGTCATGGCCGACTGCGCCGCCGACGCCATGGTCGTCCAGTACGCCCAGCGTGAGCCCGTGGCCATTCGCGGCCGCACCCAGACCGCCATCTACACGCTCCGCTACATCGGCTCGACGGTCGCCCAGGTGTGCATTGCCTTCCTTCTCAACGGCGCCGAGTACGGCGGCTCGTTCAACTACTCGGTGTCGCCCAACGTCATTTACGCCATCCTCTTGATCCCGTGCGTCCTCATCATGCTCAGCACGATCTTCCTTCTCGTCGAAGTCAAGACCGAGCGCACGCCGTTCGGCGCCTACATCTCCAACTTCTGGGGTCTCCTCCAGAAGCGCGTCATGTGGCAGATCTGCGCCTTCAAGTTCATCAACCAAATGTTTGCTGGTATTGGTGCGACGCCCGGTAACCCGATGGCGTCGGTCTGGGCCGAGGTCGAGCCGCTCAACGATGCGCTCTCGGGTGTCTTGAGCTACCTCATCATGACGCTTGTCATGGCATCTGTCGGCAAGTGGGGTCTCCACTGGAACTGGCGCTGGGTCATCGCCCTCGGCACGATCGGCATCGTCCTTATCGACGGTCTCGTCATCTTCATCACGATCTGGGATATTTTCCGCAACCAGTGGTTCTTCACGGGCGTCCCGCTTGCCGACAA